AGGAGAAGGGATGACAGGTTTGTGTTTGGAGGAGCCTCTTTGGACCAGCCACGCTCCTACAGACAAATCCCTTTGGAGGGAGGGAAGGAAAGAAAAACCAGGTAGCACCTCGTCAAAGGCCAGAAATAACAGAGGAGATGAGCTGAGAGTCATGTTCTGTTTGGAGGAATGAGGATGAGGATTTTGCAAAAAGTCCTTTGCAAATAACAATGGATTTATTAATAATATCATAAAAAATAATAAATAAGCGTTGCAAAAAGCTTAATGAAAATAAAGTGCTTGCTTAGGCTGGTGGTTGCAGGGACCTGGGCATCGATCAGCAGCAGCCTGGGGTGGGGAGGGCTCTCAGAAGTGGTTTTCCTAAACCCTGCCTCTCCACGCCTGCGTCAGGGGAACTTGCCGTGCACGGCTGACACCTCCAGGAGCTTGCAAGGACCAGGCTGACCTTGTGCATGCTCTGCCTTCAGGATATTTGCTATATCCACTCCAGGCGGCAGCTGGGGCTGGGTGGGAGCAGACTGTGTCGCCCGGTAGCGTGTCGGGGGGCGGTTTGTCCTTCCTGGCGGCAGATGCTCCTGCCCGGTGCCTGGGGGAGTAGGTGGTTCCCCGATTTTTGTTACGAGGGTGCTAAATGAGGCAGGAAGCGTACATTTGCTTCTCCTGAAGTGCTTTGCTAACCTGGAGCTGTCTTGCAGGGGAGGCGAGCGCCCCGTCTGTGGGAAGCTGAAGGGTTTGGGTTCCTCAGGCGGATGTCGGCAGAATTAGAGCAGGATCGCGAAAGCTTCCTGGCTGCGTGGGTGTTGTCTGGCATGACCCGTTCCGATGCAGATGTGTTGGGTTTGGGTTTTTTGGCGAGAAGCGAGCTGGGGCCAGCAGCCTCTGTGCCGCCTCAGCTGGAGCTCGAGGAGGGCACGTGTTGGTGGATGCCGAGGACTTTTCTGTGTCTGCAAAGCTATCCGGTTCCCCGAAACGTGGCCGCAAGGCATTCCCACCAGCAATCTGCATAGTGCTGTAATTACAGTGGTGCAGAGGAGCGGGCAGGGCAGGCTCTGTAGGTCTGCAAGCCTTTAACGGCAGCGCCTGGGCACAGGGCCCTGTTGCTAAAAGCCTTCGTCACTCACTAAATAAACTCCTGGACTTGTGCCTGGGCTTTCTCAGTGCTGACTCCTGCTCCGTGACGGTGGATCTTTTCCTGGTGTGCCTGCTGCCTCCGTAGCAGCACCCCTTTGCTGTGGCAAGCTTGGTGATGTGGGCAGGGATCAAGGTGACTCCAGTAAGTTAAGAAGGGGAATCCCAAATTTAATGTAATTACAAGTAAAGGAAGATTCCGTGTGCCTCCTTCCTCTTAGCCTCCCGCTGCCCTGAGTCCCAGCACGTGCTTTATTCCCGCTTTGGATGCCGCAGGCAGCTCCTTTCATCCCCTGCCAGGAGCAGCATCCCGGTGTGCTCAGCACTGCCTGCCAGCCCTGAGCACCCTCTCTTTGCCTCCGCAGGTCCAGAGGCAGTTCCCAGCCACGCACCCGGCATGACGGACGCTCCGCGGGATGCCGGCCCCAAGCAGCCGGCGCCGACGCCAGAGAAACCGGCCGCGGACTTTGGCTACGTGGGGATAGACGCCATCCTGGAGCAGATGAGACGGAAAGCCATGAAGCAGGGGTTCGAGTTCAACATCATGGTCGTGGGTGAGTTCTCCCCCTGCGCCAGCTGCCTGCAACGTGCTTGGCGAGTTGTTTTTGTTCTTCTGAGACGATGTTTGTCCCATCTGGAGCCTCCTCAGGAGCAGCAGCTTGGTCTCAGCCTTGGGGTCCTTGCCTTAGGAGTCAGCAAACCCTGCTCCTGAGGAGCTGGCTTGAATTCAGCTGTCGTTAAAGCTGGCGATGTGACGTGGCTCATGGTCCCAACTCATCTTCCCATGTCTTGGGGTGCATTACCCATAGGCACGTCCCAGAGGGGAACACCCCGAGGGGTGTCGGGACTCCCCGAAGCCTTGCGGAGCTCCCTTGCCTGCTCTCCTGGGAGCCCTGCGCTGGTTGGAGCAGTCAGAGAGCACGTTGGGGCTCAGGGCGCTGCTGAGCCTTGACCAGAGCCCTGACCTTTGCTAGCGTTTCCAGCAACAAATTGCTGGTAAAATTCCTGCCTGTGAGTTTTCTTGTGTTTATGAGCTTGTGCTGAGCAGGTCAGACAGCAGATGCAGCCATGCTACAAGTACCAGGGAAGAAATGCTGCGTGTGATTTACTGGTGGGAATCGAGAGCAGCAAGAGGGTTTGTGTGGCTGGGTCACTCGGCTTGAGCAGCTTCTGCTGCCGGTGGCTCCTTTGGGGACCTGCGGTGTGGCACAGGAGGGAACGAGAGCATCCTGGAGGGTGTCCATGTGCAGGGAGGGAGGGCTGGAAGGGTGCGTGTCCAAATCCTGCTGTCTACAAGCTCGTCTTCATTAGTTTTCCGAGTCTGAATGGTGGGTGGGATGAAGGAGCTTTATTTCAGCTAGAGGCCACTGGCTGCATCGTTGCTGCTCTGGCTGCAGCTTCTGCTCTGGGGGTCTGCGCTCCTGCAGCCCCTGGGCTCCCGGTGCCAGGGCCTGCACCAGCCACTCGCCAGCAAAATGCTGGGAATACTGGCGAGCTGGGTGGGTGCTGCGGGACACTGGGCAAGGGGGGAGAGGGACAAGAAGTGAGCCTTTTCCAGCTACCGGTGTCTGGCCCGTGGTCCCCTGGGCCTATGGAGCCCCTTGCGTGAGCTGGGCTGTGCTCGCCGGGGTGGAGCTGTGCAGGCAGCAGCTCTCCCTGCCTGAACCTCCCAGGGGAGGTGCAGGGGGGTGAGAAGAGTGAACCCATGGTGTGACGGCGGGATCTCGCCATCCCGCCTCCTCCTGCGAGGAGTTGCGTAGGGTTGCAGGTTTGTGCAGGGATGCCGGTGGGCTAGGAGCCCCCACAACCCTGGGTGGCTTCCTGGGGTTACGGGGGGGCCTGATCCAGACTTTGCTAATTCTGGAAAAGATACCAGTGTGCTGTAGCTTCCCAGCGAGCTATGCTGATGCTCTGCCTTTCTCATTTTGATATTCTCAAACTCAAATTGATCTATGGGGAGGACTCCCCAGGCTGGGAGATTGCTTCAAATGAGCTTACTGCAGAACCAGTTCTTGCAAGGTTTTTTAACAAACCCAGCTCTTTGCTGCTAGTGGAGCAGCACTCCTGGGGCAGAGGGGTCGGAGCACTGACCCTGAGAGTCTGCAAGCGAGATCGCCTGAGCCGAGCCCCCATTTCCCTGCCAGAAGAGACACCCATCCTTCCGTGAGCAGGCTGTGCCACGGCAGCACCTCGGCTTTCTGCCTTGCAGATGCGGAGGGATGTTCAGGAAAGGGCCCGGCTTTGCCTTGGCAGCACTGTGTGTGGTATGAAAGCCTGTGCTGTAGCGCGGCTGGAAAACATTGTTCTTCCCTTGGCAGGCTCTGGGCTGTCTGTTTACAGGCTGGGGAATTCGTGGCA